CCCGCTGGAGAACAGGGACCAGTCTGTGAGGCCCGCTGGAGACTAGGGACCAGTCTGTGAGGCCCTCTGGAGAACAGGGACCAGTCTGTGAGGCCCGCTGGAGACTAGGGACCAGTCTGTGAGGCCCGCTGGAGAACAGGGACCAGTCTGTGAGGCCCGCTGGAGACTAGGGACCAGTCTGTGAGGCCCTCTGGAGAACAGAGACCAGTCTGTGAGGCCTTCTGGTGAACAGGGACCAGTCTGTGAGGCCCGCTGGTGAACGAGGCCCGCTGGAGAACAGGGACCAGTCTCTGAGGCCCGCTGGTGAACAACGCCCGCTGGAGAACAGGGACCAGTCTGTGAGGCCCGCTGGTGAATAGGGACCAGTCTGTGAGGCCCGCTGGAGAACAGGGACCAGTCTGTGAGGCCCGCTGGAGAACAGGGACCAGTCTGTGAGGCCCGCTGGAGAACCGGGACCAGTCTGTGAGGCCCGCTGGAGAACAGGGACCAGTCTGTGAGGCCCGCTGGAGAACCGGGACCAGTCTGTGAGGCCCGCTGGAGAACAGAGACCAGTCTGTGAGGCCCGCTGGAGAACCGGGACCAGTCTGTGAGGCCCGCTGGAGAACAGAGACCAGTCTGTGAGGCCCGGGGAACACGCCATTCTCTTTATTCTATTTTAATAATGTATATATATTTTTTTTTTACAGTGAACGCTCAAAGTCGCTTCACAGGTCAATTTTTTTGTTCTCTCAAAACACAGAAGGGATAAACTACTGCTGAAGCCACAGCTGCCCTGGGGCACACTGACAGTGGCAAGGCAACCAGTCTGTGCCATCAGCCTGGTCTCTCTCTCTGGTCTCTCTCTTGTCCCTCTCACTGGTCTCTCTCTCTGGTCTCTCCCTGGTCTCTCTCTGGTCTCTCTGTGGTCTCTCTGTGGTCTCTCTCTCTGATCTCTCTGTGGTCTCTCTCTGGTCTCTCTCCCTGGTCTCTCTGTGGTCTCTCTCTCTGGTCTCTCTCCCTGGTCTCCCTGTGGTCTCTCTCTCTGGTCTCTCACCATTGTCTCTTTTTGCTCTTTCTCTAGACAAGACAGACACACAGAAAGAGACGATAGAGAACCGTCCGTAAACGATTGACCCTGAGTAAACGATAGAGACCCTCAGTAAACGATAGAGAACCCTCCGTAAACGATAGAGACCCCCAGTAAACCATAGAGACCCTCTCCCGCCTCAGACCAAAGTCACATGAGACCAACTCTTTCCATTTATCTTCTTTCATCCGCAGCGTGAGAGAAACCCCCTCCCCGTCCACACATTAGACTAAACCTCCACGATTCCCAACAGAGAGAATCCAATCTCAGTGACGGCCCTCGGGAAAGAGGGCGCCTCATTTCCAAGACGTTTTTCAATTATTTCAGTTTCGAGGCTCTAATGGATTAATTGTTGCCGCTCGGATCATTAATTAAAAGTAAACGTGTGACGGAGACGGAACGAGGAGGATTCAGAGTTTTAGGACAAATCTACAATGTTTGGTTTTTGGTTTGTTGTGATTTTGGTCTGTTTTTGGTCCCTCTCACTCTGGTTTCTCTCTCATTCTGGTCCCTCTCACTCTGGTCTCTCTCTGCTCTCTGGTCTCTCTCATTCTGGTCCCTCTCACTCTGGTCTCTCTCTGCTCTCTGGTCTCTCTCATTCTGGTCCCTCTCACTCTGGTCTCTCTCTGCTCTCTGGTCTCTCTCACTCTGGTCTCTCTCACTCTGGTTTCTCTCTCACTCTGGTCTCTCTCTGCTCTGGTCCCTCTCACTCTGGTCTCTCTCTGCTCTCTGGTCTCTCTCACTCTGGTCTCTCTCACTCTGGTCTCTCTCTGCTCTGGTCTCTCTCTGCTCTCTGGTCTCTCTCACTCTTGTCTCTCTCACTCTGGTCTCTCTCTGCTCTGGTCTCTCTCTGCTCTCTGGTCTCTCTCACTCTTGTCTCTCTCACTCTGGTCTCTCTTTGCGCTGTCCTCTCTCACTCTGGTCTCTCTCTGCGCTGGTCTCTCTCACTGTGGTCTCTCTCTGCTCTGGTCTCTCTCACTCTGGTATATCTCTGCACTCTCACACTAGGGTGTCTCTCTTACTCTGGTCTCTCACTTTGGTCCCCCCCGGCTCTCTCATCACTCATTGCTCTCTCTGTCTTGTCCCTCCCTGCTCTCTTGTCTCTCTCACTCTGGTCTCTCTCACTCTGCTCTCTGGTCTCTCACACTCTGATCTCTTTAACTCTGGTCTTTCTTTGCTCTGGTCTCTCTCACTCTGGTCTCTCTCTGCTCTGGTCTCTCTCACTCTGGTCTCTCTCACTCTTGTCTCTCTCTGCTCTGGTCTCTCTCACTCTGGTCTCTCTCTGCTCTGGTCTCTCTCACTCTGGTCTCTCTCTGCTCGGGTCTCTCTCACTCTGGTCTCTCTCACTCTGGTCTCTCTCACTCTGCTCTCTCTCTGCGCTGGTCTCTTTCACTCTGGTCTCTCTCACTCTGGTTTCTCTCACTCTGGTCTCTCTCTGCGCTGGTCTCTGGTCTCTCTCTGCTCTGGTCTCTCTCACTCTGGTCTCTCTCACTCTGGTCTCTCTCTGCTCTGGTCTCTCTCACTCTGGTCTCTCTCTGCTCTGGTCTCTCTCACTCTGGTCTCTCTCACTCTGGTCTCTCTCTGCTCTGGTCTCTCTCTGCTCTGGTCTCTCTCTGCTCTGGTCTCTCTCTCACTCTGGTCTCTCTCACTCTGGTCTCTCTCTGCTCTGGTCTCTCTCTGCTCTGGTCTCTCTCACTCTGGTCTCTCTCACTCTGGTCTCTCTCACTCTGGTCTCTCTCTGCTCTGGTCTCTCTCTGCGCTGGTCTCTCTCACTCTGGTCTCTCTCTGCTCTGGTCTCTCTCTGCTCTGGTCTCTCTCACTCTGGTCTCTCTCACTCTGGTCTCTCTCACTCTGGTCTCTCTCTGCTCTGGTCTCTCTCTGCTCTGGTCTCTCTCACTCTGGTCTCTCTCACTCTGGTCTCTCTCACTCTGGTCTCTCTCTGCTCTGGTCTCTCACTGCGCTGGTCTCTCTCACTCTGGTCTCTCTCCCTGGGGGAATGTGTCTTGCCTAAGGACACTACAACAACACACTTTACAGCCGTAGCCGCCCCGCTGTGACACCTGGTGTTCCCGGCGGTCTCCCATCCCAGCACTAACCCGTCCTTGCCCTGCTTAGCTTCAGAGGGTAAATGAATGTTCAGGTATAGAACAAGCACCTCCGAGCGGGTCCCTGGGGTTAGCACCTGGCGACGGAATAAGGTCACCGATGTAAATGTCAGAATCTGATAGAAACATAATAATCCAAAACAGAAATCCCACCGTCAAAATGATGTGTTCATGCGAGGCAGTCCTGGAAATGTCAGTGAGCACGGGGCCTCTGTTTATTTCATGACTCCATTTACATTGTGGAGGATTGTCAAGCACTTTGGCCTCACCACAAATGGGTTAGTCTCACCAATAGGTCGACTCTAGTGTTGTTGTTAGCACCTGTTATAATGACAGCAGTGGGAAAGGTTGGCGTGTTGTTTAGACCCGTGTCGCTTTTCAACATGAGGTGAACGTAAACTTTTAACCTCAGGTCAAATTTTACTTTAAAAGATCTCTACTCTACTCTACCCTACTCTACTCTACCCTATTCTGCTCTACTCTACCCTACTCTACCCTACCCTACTCTACCCTACTCTACTCTACCCTACTCTACTCCTCTCCACTCTACTCTACTCTACCCTACTCTACTCTACCCTATTCTGCTCTACTCTACCCAACTCTACTCTACTCTACTCTTCTCTACTCTACTCTACTCTACTCTACCCTACTCTACCCTACTCTACTCCTCTCCACTCTACTCTACTCTACTCTTCTCTATCAACTCTACTCTACCCTACTCTACTCTACTCTACTCTACCCAACTCTACCCCTACCCAACCCTACTCTACTCTCCTCTACTCTACTCTACTCTACCCTACCCTACCCTACCCTACCCTACCCTACCCTACTCTACTCTACTCTACTCTACTCTACTCTACCCAACTCTACCCCTACCCAACCCTACTCTACTCTCCTCTACTCTACTCCTCTCTACTCTACCCTACCCTACCCTACCCTACCCTACTCTACTCACCTCTACTCTACCCGACCCTACTCTACGCTACTCTACTGTAGTGTACTCTACTCTACAGTGATTAAAATAGAAGAGAAATACCCTAAATTAGGGTCTAAATGATCCAGGGCTGAACATGTTTTATATCGGGTACTTGTTCATCCCTGCGGCGGGTCAATTGGACCCAAGGATACCGGTACCAGATACTTCTTTAGTCGCTCTTGTATCCAGGCCGAGCTGGTACTAAAGTGTTGTGATTGGCCGGAGTTCTTCTGAAAGCTATGGTTACCAAGGAATGTCCACGGATGCTGGTCTGTTGTGGGTAGTTTACAACAAGGATACAGTGACATCCTAAATGTAATGGAAACACAACCAGGTAGAGCAGAGCCGAGCCAGGCCAAGTCGGTGGAGATACAGACTGACTTCCCGACAGGTGATTAGCATTAGCATTAGCATTGGCTCGCGTCACATTCTCTCTCATGGACGTGTTCTCCGCTCCATGTCTGCGATTAGATTGAATGCGTGATCAAACTCGCGCTCCGGACAGAATTCCGCGTCCACTTCGCTTCTCCCTAATTTATCTGAATGTATGAATAATGAGGAGCCACGAAAGCGCTGTCTGTTCAACCTTGTATTCACGAAACTAGATGCATTAGAAAGCGCCACTCTTGAATGAGAGAGGAATCCATTAAAGTAGTAATAAAATTGCAAATGTCGTCCTCCTTCTGTTTTGGTGACTTTCGGAGCGAGCCGGGCGCACATCAGCGGAAAAGCTAACACATACATAGCAATGCGACGCTCCCTGCTGTGAGGCCGCTACCAGCAATACTTCTTTTTCAATTACAGCGGGAAAGAGAGGAAGAGGAGGAGGAGGACATGGTGATGCGTGGATAAACAGCAACATATGTGTTTCTCTGGTAAAGTGGCTGTCACGCCGGCCATTCAGGAGCTAAAAGTGGTCTCTGCGTGTTTTTCCCCAATTCAGTTCAATGCAATTCAATGTATTTGCCTGAGAGGAAGTTGACAACTGCAGACAGATCAGAGAATCAAACCGTTCAAGCGCAGGATATGCAGAGATGACGAAGATGTATAGAAGGTATTGGTCCGTATAGGGAGCGACTGAGGCTGTAGACCCAGGACTGAGGCTGTAGACCCAGGACTGAGGCTGTAGACCCAGGACTGAGGCTGTAGATCCAGGACTGAGGCTGTAGACCCAGGACTGAGGCTGTAGATCCAGGACTGAGGCTGTAGACCCAGGACTGAGGCTTTAGACCCAGGACTGAGGCTGTAGATCCAGGACTGAGGCTGTAGACCCAGGACTGAGGCTGTAGATCCAGGACTGAGGCTGTAGACCCAGGACTGAGGCTGTAGACCCAGGACTGAGGCTGTAGACCCAGGACTGAGGCTGTAGACCCAGGACTGGGGCTGTAGACCCAGGACTGAGGCTGTAGACTCAGGACTGAGGCTGTAGACTCAGGACTGAGGCTGAACACGGGTGCAGATGAAAGCGGACCGGTTCAGGGGTCCCAACAGACCATAGAAGTCTCAATGTTGACAGATGAGAAGAGACATCAGGGTGTTATTACCACACTTCTCCAGCAGGGGGCCTCTAAATGCACCATTAAAACCATCTCAAATGTGACCTTGATCTGTTGGTGTGTTGTGCCGTAGCTTTGGCAGAGATGGAGGATCTCCTGAAGTCTGTGGTGAAGGAGAGACGAGCTCAGAAGTGTCACTCTGCTTTTGTGGACTCGCTGATCCAGTCCAGCCTGACCGAGCCCCAGGTCAGGAAATAATCTGTACAGTCACAAACATGGCTGAAATTGGGACGTCCCATTTTAAGTATGCATCTTGTAAAAGTGAATCTCATCTTTCAGATCATGGAGGACTGCATGGTCTTCACTCTGGCAGGATGTGTCATTACAGCCAACTGTGAGTCTCGAACCCAAACCGCTCTCACCGGTTCTGATTCTTGTTATGTAATGGCTGGACTTTAAGCCTCTACTTTGTCCATGTTCTCTGAAGCCTGTGGCCATTGTTTTTTATTCTTTAGATGGACAATGCTAACCTTGCTCAACTTGCTCAGTCTCGTGCTGACGTACTGTGGATTCCAGACTATGTTTCCCTCACTTTGACTGCTGCTGCTGCTTATAGTGTTTTTATTAATTCATTCATTTTCCAGTGGCCCTTTTTTGAATCCGCGGAGAGACGCCGCCGGAAGTGCACAGGACTTGTTTATGGACTTTTGACTTCAGTTTTAGTCAAGATGAGATACACATTTATTGTCCAAATATACAGGATTTCCCAGAGTGCTTTGAGGTTTTTATATGTTCTGTGTTTGTTTGCAGTGTGCATCTGGACTCTCCGCTTCCTCTCCACGTCAGCGGAGGTGCAGGACAAGCTGTACCAGGAAGTCCTCGAGGTCCTGGGTTCAGAACCAGTCACGCTGGAGAAGGTCCCGCAGCTCAGGTGATGTCTCATTCTGCTCTCTGGTTCCCTTTATGCTATGGTTAGTAAAGTTATAGAACATACAAAAACAACACAAACATAATAATACACAGCATGAAATGAATGAATGAATGAATGAATGAATGAATGAATGAATGAATGAATGAATGAATGAATGAATGCCCCATAGTGTCCTTTCTAATGCACCTGTAATATCTACAGTCTGTGCTTTAGACTCAGGGCAGACAACAAACAAGAACGGACAAAAGGAGCAATGAGGCACACACACACACTACAGTACACACACTACAGTATACACACTACAGTACACACACACTACAGTACACACACTACAGTATACACACTACAGTACACACACACTACAGTATACACACACACACTACAGTACACACACACACTACAGTACACACACACACTACAGTACACACACACACACACTACAGTACACACACTACAGTACACACACACACACTACAGTACACACACTACAGTACACACACACTACAGTACACACACACACACTACAGTACACACACACTACAGTACACACACACTACAGTACACACACTACAGTACACACACACACACTACAGTACACACACTACAGTACACACACACACTACAGTACACACACTACAGTACACACACACACTACAGTACACACACTACAGTACAGTACACACACTACAGTACACACACTACAGTACACACACTACAGTACAGTACACACACTACAGTACACACACACACTACAGTACACACACTACAGTACACACACTACAGTACACACACACTACAGTACACACACACACTACAGTACACACACTACAGTACACACACTACAGTACACACACACTACAGTACACACACACACTACAGTACACACACTACAGTACACACACACACTACAGTACACACACTACAGTACACACACACACACACACTACAGTACACACACTACAGTACACACACACTACAGTACACACCACACCACTACAGTACACACACACTACAGTACACACACACACACACACACTACAGTACACACACTACAGTACACACACACACACTACAGTACACACACACACACTACAGTACACACACTACAGTACACACACTACAGTACACACACACACACTACAGTACACACACTACAGTACACACACTACAGTACACACACACACTACAGTACACACACTACAGTACACACACACTACAGTACACACACACACACACTACAGTACACACACACACACTACAGTACACACACACACACTACAGTACACACACACACACACACACTACAGTACACACTACAGTACACGCACTACAGTACACACACACTACAGTACACACACACACACACACACTACAGTACACACACACACACTACAGTACACACACACTACAGTACACACACACACACACTACAGTACACACACACTACAGTACACACACACTACAGTACACACACACACACACACACACACACGTTTTTGTTACCTGGTGGGTCCCTTTGACAGGGCCGTTCAGAATGGGACCCATAGACATAATCTTTTTTTACTGGGACTACTTTAAGTAATACAAAACAGTCAATAGAAACCAAACAACTATTTTAAAGGAATTTTATTTTAGATTTTTTTTTCGAATTGCAGTGATTCTATTTTTGACATAGAATTTAATGCCACTCCATGTCCGATGTCTAAGGTCATCTGGTGAGGCATTAATGCAGGCCAGGCCAGGCCAGGCCAGGCAGTGAGACTTCCCAGGGACCTTTCCAGTCTGTATGAAAGGTGTCATGGTCTTCTCCACAGCCTTCACCTCAGATGCAGACCATGGCTTTCTCTAACGTTCTAGGGAGAGAAATAAAAATATATTAGCAATATACACTCCCAGGGTGAGGACCAAGCAGCCTGGCTGTAATCCCCCACCTGGTACACTTACCAGAAGGGGCACTGCCACTACCATGGGGTGCATCTGGATGAATGGTTGAAGGTTCTCCGCTTGAAGTTTCTTTTAGCCCGTCCGTTTGTGAGAGGATCTCTACTGCTCTCCCTGTCGCACAGAAAATAAAAATACAAGTGGCCTTTAGGGGAAAAAAATCATACATATTTTAATAATATCAAGAATTACCTTCAGGCTCAATTTGTATCTGGTCGAGGCTCTTTCCTTCGAATTCCGTCACTCTTCCCTGCTCCATGGCCATCAACACTTTGCTGATTTTGGCCAGCTCCAGTGTCCCCTCTGGTAGTCTGTAATATTGCCTGTGGATGCGAATGTCATGGCCGAGGAAGTTGGCAAGTATGTCCATCTCATTCTCTTTCATATTGAGAACTGTAGACATAGTAGCTATGTGCTTTCTAAGTTTGGTTGAGGATAGCATCTCTGGATGCACCGCACCACATTCTTTGGCTACCTGGCGTAGGGAGTCTGATCCCCTGATGTGGGTGTCTGCGCCCGGGCGGGAAAAGAAGTATGGGTTATGGTCAGAGATGGAACAGGCCCTTCTGTTCTCCACCAGCACCTCCATCGAAGCAATCATTTCAGGAGTCAAAAGAACCGCCACTTTCCGACTTCTTTTCCCTTTAATTTCAATGCGTTGAAAATGCTGACACAGCTTTTTCTCAAGTTGGGACAGTCCCAGAGCAATGTCAGAATGGATCCCAGTCTTACTTCTTAAGGTAAAGGCTGTCAGTGGCATCTTTGAAACCTCACCTTCCCTTCTTCGATTGAAAATGATGACCTCACAAAGAGTCAAAACTGCCAGTTTAGACCAATGCTTAGACGTTGGCTCACTTATTAGGGTTTGCACATATTCAGGTCGACATACCTCAATATGTGCATGCATGGCTCTAACGTCCTCAGTCAGAGGGAGCAGGTCCGGAGTGTTCCACTTGGCTTGCCGGAGGGTCTGTAGGGCAGCAGAAGAAACACAGACGTCCCACCTCTTCTCAAAAAGCAGCCGGCTTCGTTGGAGGTTTTTAATAAATAGTTCATCAACACAATGCTCCATTTTTGAGTCACATTCAAGAATATCTGCTAGCTTTCTGAGGCTATGGCCGAGTTTGAGGGCCAAGGATGGAGTCTTGTATTGATTTGTTTCCTCATCATATCCAGCCACAGACCTGACTGCATCAATCACATGGTTAAAGTTGGAAGGAATAAAGAAATCCTTCATTGTTTTCAGTTTCCCTGCAGTTTTTGCTTCGTTAATTAACCTACCGACTTCTCTCATTTTCTGCCTAATGTAATCATGCTTAGTCTTATCATGCCCGTGTTTTAAGTACAGGTGCTCTCCGAGTCTCAGAATCCCCTTTTCTGCTTTGACAACACCCGTGACCTCATCCTGATGCATTGCCCAAATTAAAGAGCACAGCTTTTTGCTGATGCCCTCCGGTACAGGCTGGGCTAGGGAGCAGAGGGACTGGACCCTACTTCTACCTGGTTTAGCCTGGTTTAGCCTGGTTTAGCCTGGGCATCTTTCTGTGAAAGCCGGCACCTGGCCACATGCCTCCACAGCGACTTTCGCTTAAGCAATGCCCCACAGTCTATACAGTGCAAAAACTCACTGGATTTAACTGGGCAATTTGGCTGTTTAGCTGGGACTAAAGTTCCAATGCCGGCCTTTAAAACCTCAAAATTGTGCTCACGGTTTCCACTATTCCTGATCAAATCAAACTGAAGTTTACGTGCTTTAGATTTCACAGGTAGAGCCAATGCTCTGGCTACGTCACTTTCATTTCCATGTTTTCTAGTCAAATGACGGGACATTTTGTGGCAGGACATTGAACAGTAGAGGCAGAAGTGTCTCTTGCTATAAACTCGCCCCCCATTTTTCTTCTTTTGCAGCTGCATGATAACAATCTTATTTGCCTTTGGTTCGTCACTTTCCGAGTCTTGAAGAAAAGTGTTTTTGATTTTTCTTTTTCCATACTTTTTTACAGGTTTCTTCTTGACAGTTAAATCGTCAGAATCTGAGTCGACTTCATCAATTAGGGACTCTTGACTAAGCTGCACAAACAACAAATAATTAGTAATAATTCTATATAACAATTTGAAGTCATGACTTGTAGTCAGCACTTACCAGTGGTTTGTAAGCGTGCGCTTCAGTGTGCTGCTCTGTGATTGGCTGCAGCCTAATGAACCACACACTTGCACCTTTTTCTAGCCTGACACCTGATTTCCTCTGTTGTGCTGCTCCATGATTGGCTCCAGCCTGCTGGACTGAAATTGCCCCAGTGTGCCCCTCCTTGATATCCCGCAACCCACCACCAGGGTTCCGACACATAACACACTTTTTTCAGGAAAGTAAACCTCCAGGGGTCCTTTCCATATTTTTACAGAGACTGCATAAGGACCGTTAGAAAAGCATTACCCATTGATTATTAAGCTTGGACCAGTGGGGTCCGGTGTTCGGGCCCCACCACGTAAAACCAGTCCCCATGACGTGAGTGGAATCACACACACACACACACACACACGTCACCAGTTTTCACATGTTTCATTTCAGACCTTTGTCACATCTTTGGAGCTGCTTTTTCAGACAGAAAAGGGAATCAGCCAATCAGGGCTCTGCCAGAAGGGTCAAATAGTGACTCTCAGGGCTCTCAAGGTTTCAAGTATGTAAAAAGTAACAGCATTTTGTGGTCTGATGTTTTCACAAAATGTTTCTAGTCTCTTCCTGTTGGGACAAACATCATTTTGATTTAAAAACCTTAAGTTATAAAGTTTCTTTCAGCTCGACATGCCTCAAACATTGCAAACGTGCTGCTGCTGATGCGTCTGTCCTCTCCTCTAGATACTGTCAGCAGGTCCTGATGGAGACGGTCAGGACGGCCATGCTGACCCCTGTGGCGGCCCGGCTCCAGGAGGTCGAGGGGAAAGTGGACCAGCATGTCATCCCCAAACAGGTCTCAGCTTTTCACCTGTGATCTCATTTATTTATCTATTTCTGTATGTAGAGGTTGCTAATGTGAGATTGTTGTGGTGCAGACACTGGTCATCTATGCGCTGGGCGTGGTCATGCAGGATCCGGACACGTGGAGCAGCCCGTACAGGTGGGGGGGGGGGGGGGGGGGGCACTGTTAAAACCAGGGGTGGCTAAACTCTTTTAGGAAGAGAGCCACTTTAGACTTGTCCAGGGGCCGACAATTTGAATCCTTCCCTGTTTATGATTTTAGAAATGACTCTCATTGGATTTCATATATTGAGTTGCATTTTTGATCAGGTGGTATGAAGTCTTTTGGGTGTTTAACTAACCAATATTGTATTTCCTCATGGCTCTGTGGATGGTTCTGTTTTGCCACTGATTGTAAACGAACTGTATGTCTGTTCTCCTACTGCCCTCTAGTGGTGGTGGACGGTTTTTTCCTGTGTTTTTGAGTTTATTTCCTTCACCTGTTGTCTCTCTTTCTCTATGGCCCAATTATAATGGCACAGTGGGCCGCATTTGGCTCGCGGGCCTCAGTTTGGACATCCCTGGTTTCAAGCATAGGAAGTGTTGTCCTCTTGCAGATTAAAACTTGATCTTGTGTGCATTCTAGAAGTCAAAATACTGTGGTGTTTTAGGTTTAATCCGGACCGCTTTGAGGAAGAGTCGGCCAGAAAAACCTTTAGTCTGCTGGGGTTCTCTGGAAGTCGCACCTGCCCTGAGCTCAGGTACGACCACACATTAAGATAAGATAAACCTTTATTAGTCTCACAGTGGAGAAATTCCAGTGTCATCGTTGCACATTACAGCAGAGAGAGGAAATAAGACTCAGACGCACACATCAAAGTCTATTATTTAAGATAATAGACAATAAATTTAAGATAAAATAAAATAAAATAAGATAAACTCTGGGCTATAATTGCACTTGGTTCGGAGTATTTACAGATGTCTATATTATACATTAGCAGCGGAGAATATGAGCAGAATAAACATCAGAAATAATATCAACAGGTAAAGTGACTTAAATGGGAGAATTATCAGATGGATATGAATAATACAGTAAGATATCAACAGGTAAAGTGACGGTGAAAGGCAGAATGATCAGATATGTAATAATTAGGGCTGTCAAACGATTAATTTTTTAAATCGAGTTAATTACAGCTTAAAAATTAATTAATCGTATTTCAAACTATTGGCAAAATTATGCCATATTTTTCTGTAAATGGTTGTTTGAATGCAAAGATAAATGTCAGCTTAGTGAACATATGAACTGTATTTGTTTGTTATAGCAATAAATCCATATAAAATGGAATTAACATTATTAACATTCTGTCTTTCTGTTTAGACTCAGACCAAACCATTGTTTGTTACAGATGAGGGACATTTCAAAACAGTCTGAAGCAGAATGTCATTAAATCTGTTTGATTTGCTCACATTACTTTTTTTGGCACAACTAACATGAACTGATGGTCGAAAGGAAAATTAGGTACCTCAGCTTTAATTTAGCGAGTGCGCTTCAGGAGAAGACACGGAGGAGACTAACAGGGAATGTACACAGTAGGCGTAAACAGCGCGTACGCGTTTACTGCGCTCTCTGCGCGTAACATTTTTTTGCAGTATCTACACTGACCGTGCTCAAGTCCACGTCTTCTGATGCTGTCCCTGTGTCGTCTGTGGAGCAGTGTAGAGGACAGTACAGAGACTGATGCTGTCCCTGTGTAGTCTGTGGAGCAGTGCAGAGGACAGTACAGAGACTGATGCTGTCCCTGTGTAGTCTGTGGAGCAGTGTAGAGGACAGTACAGAGACTGATGCTGTCCCTGTGTAGTCTATGGAGCAGTGTAGAGGACAGTACAGAGACTGATGCTGTCCCTGTGTAGTCTATGGAGCAGTGTAGAGGACAGTACAGAGACTGATGCTCTCCCTGTGTAGTCTATGGAGCAGTGTAGAGGACAGTACAGAGACTGATGCTGTCCCTGTGTAGTCTATGGAGCAGTGTAGAGGACAGTACAGAGACTGATGCTCTCCCTGTGTAGTCTGTGGAGCAGTGTAGAGGACAGTACAGAGACTGATGCTGTCCCTGTGTAGTCTATGGAGCAGTGTAGAGGACAGTACAGAGACTGATGCTGTCCCTGTGTAGTCTGTGGAGCAGTGCAGAGGACAGTACAGAGACTGATGCTGTCCCTGTGTCGTCTGTGGAGCAGTGTAGAGGACAGTACAGAGACTGATGCTGTCCCTGTGTAGTCTGTGGAGCAGTGCAGAGGACAGTACAGAGACTGATGCTGTCCCTGTGTAGTCTATGGAGCAGTGTAGAGGACAGTACAGAGACTGATGCTGTCCCTGTGTAGTCTATGGAGCAGTGTAGAGGACAGTACAGAGACTGATGCTGTCCCTGTGTAGTCTATGGAGCAGTGCAGAGGACAGTACAGAGACTGATGCTGTCCCTGTGTAGTCTATGGAGCAGTGTAGAGGACAGTACAGAGACTGATGCTCTCCCTGTGTAGTCTATGGAGCAGTGTAGAGGACAGTACAGAGACTGATGCTCTCCCTGTGTAGTCTGTGGAGCAGTGTAGAGGACAGTACAGAGACTGATGCTGTCCCTGTGTAGTCTATGGAGCAGTGCAGAGGACAGTACAGAGACTGATGCTGTCCCTGTGTAGTCTATGGAGCAGTGTAGAGGACAGTACAGAGACTGATGCTGTCCCTGTGTAGTCTATGGAGCAGTGCAGAGGACAGTACAGAGACTGATGCTGTCCCTGTGTAGTCTATGGAGCAGTGTAGAGGACAGTACAGAGACTGATGCTGTCCCTGTGTAGTCTATGGAGCAGTGTAGAGGACAGTACAGAGACTGATGCTGTCCCTGTGTAGTCTATGGAGCAGTGTAGAGGACAGTACAGAGACTGATGCTGTCCCTGTGTAGTCTATGGAGCAGTGTAGAGGACAGTACAGAGACTGATGCTGTCCCTGTGTAGTCTATGGAGCAGTGTAGAGGACAGTACAGAGACTGATGCTGTCCCTGTGTAGTCTATGGAGCAGTGCAGAGGACAGTACAGAGACTGATGCTCTCCCTGTGTAGTCTATGGAGCAGTGTAGAGGACAGTACAGAGACTGATGCTGTCCCTGTGTAGTCTATGGAGCAGTGTAGAGGACAGTACAGAGACTGATGCTCTCCCTGTGTAGTCTATGGAGCAGTGTAGAGGACAGTACAGAGACTGATGCTGTCCCTGTGTAGTCTATGGAGCAGTGTAGAGGACAGTACAGAGACTGATGCTGTCCCTGTGTAGTCTATGGAGCAGTGTAGAGGACAGTACAGAGACTGATGCTGTCCCTGTGTAGTCTATGGAGCAGTGCAGAGGACAGTACAGAGACTGATGCTCTCCCTGTGTAGTCTATGGAGCAGTGCAGAGGACAGTACAGAGACTGATACTGTCCCTGTGTAGTCTATGGAGCAGTGTAGAGGACAGTACAGAGACTGATACTGTCCCTGTGTAGTCTGTGGAGCAGTGCAGAGGACAGTACAGAGACTGATGCTGTCCCTGTGTAGTCTATGGAGCAGTGTAGAGGACAGTACAGAGACTGATGCTGTCCCTGTGTAGTCTATGGAGCAGTGCAGAGGACAGTACAGAGACTGATACTGTCCCTGTGTAGTCTGTGGAGCAGTGCAGAGGACAGTACAGAGACTGATGCTGTCCCTGTGTAGTCTATGGAGCAGTGTAGAGGACAGTACAGAGACTGATGCTGTCCCTGTGTAGTCTATGGAGCAGTGTAGAGGACAGTACAGAGACTGATGCTGTCCCTGTGTAGTCTGTGGAGCAGTGTAGAGGACAGTACAGAGACTGATGCTGTCCCTGTGTAGTCTGTGGAGCAGTGCAGAGGACAGTACAGAGACTGATACTGTCCCTGTGTAGTCTATGGAGCAGTGTAGAGGACAGTACAGAGACTGATACTGTCCCTGTGTAGTCTGTGGAGCAGTGCAGAGGACAGTACAGAGACTGATGCTGTCCCTGTGTAGTCTATGGAGCAGTGTAGAGGACAGTACAGAGACTGATACTGTCCCTGTGTAGTCTATGGAGCAGTGTAGAGGACAGTACAGAGACTGATGCTGTCCCTGTGTAGTCTATGGAGCAGTGTAGAGGACAGTACAGAGACTGATGCTGTCCCTGTGTAGTCTATGGAGCAGTGTAGAGGACAGTACAGAGACTGATGCTGTCCCTGTGTAGTCTATGGAGCAGTGTAGAGGACAGTACAGAGACTGATGCTGTCCCTGTGTAGTCTATGGAGCAGTGTAGAGGACAGTACAGAGACTGATGCTGTCCCTGTGTAGTCTATGGAGCAGTGTAGAGGACAGTACAGAGACTGATGCTGTCCCTGTGTAGTCTATGGAGCAGTGTAGAGGACAGTACAGAGACTGATGCTGTCCCTGTGTAGTCTATGGAGCAGTGTAGAGGACAGTACAGAGACTGATGCTGTCCCTGTGTAGTCTGTGGAGCAGTGTAGAGGACAGTACAGAGACTGATGCTGTCCCTGTGTAGTCTGTGGAGCAGTGTAGAGGACAGTACAGAGACTGATGCTGTCCCAGTGTAGTCTGTGGAGCAGTGTAGAGGACAGTACAGAGACTGATGCTGTCCCTGTGTAGTCTGTGGAGCAGTGCAGAGGACAGTACAGAGACTGATGCTGTCCCTGTGTCGTCTATGGAGCAGTGCAGAGGACAGTACAGAGACTGATGTAGAGCAACACAAACCACATGTGTTTGTCTTCATGGTCTCTGTGCTGGTTTGGCCAGACGCCAGACTTTATGAAAGAAAAAAAACGATGTCCAGAATCACTGTAAAACCTGCTGCTCCTCCTGCTGATGTTTAGACACAAGTGCTGTGTGTGTGTGTGTGTGTGTGTGTGTGTGTGTGTGTGTGTGTGTGTGTGTGTGTGTGTGTGTGTGTGTGTGTGTGTGTGTGTGTGTGTGTGTGTGTGTGTGTGTGTGTGTGTGTGTGTGTGTGTGTGTGTGTGTGTGTGTGTGTGTGTGTGTGTTCTAGAGCCAAGGACCGCTAGAAAAATCATGTTTTACATGAGATGAGAGAAAGACACGTACGCACACTAGAGAATAGTTCTGTAATAGTGGATATGATCCCGTTACGCAGCGCCGTTCGCCGTGATCACAGCCGCTGGAGGTGGGACCTGTCCAGAGCGCTGTGGCGCCCGCAGCTCATCATGCAGAGTTCATACAGAAAACTACAAGTGCCCCGCGGTCACGCGTGTATTCTTTCAAAACTTGAATTCCCAGAAACCTGCTCTGTCCCCATCTTACACACGCGCATGTGTCCGCGGGATTCTGAGTGTTATTATGGGACGCATGGGCATGCGTCAAATGCGTTAATTTTTGTAACGCGATTAATGAAAACAATTAATTAACGTGCGTTAACGCGATAATTTTGACAGCCCTAATAATAATGCAGTAGTACTGATAACAGTAAATATCAGATATGTAATAATACAGTAGTACTGATAACAGGTAAAGTGACTAGTGGCAAAGTTACTAGTGAATTATCAGTGACACTCAGTTCAACATTCTCGTTGTACAGTCTGACAGCAGCAGGAAGGAAAGACCTACGGAACCTCTCCTTCACACAGCGAGGGTGAATTAGTCTGTCACTGAAGCTGCTCTCCAGAGCAGAGAGAGTGTCCTGCAGGGGGCGACAGTCATGGTCCAGCATAGATGTTAGTTTGCTCAGGACCCTCCTGTCCCCCACCTGCTGCACTGTGTCCAGGGAACAGCCCAGGACTGAGCTGGACTTCCTGATGTTCCAGCTTCTTCCTGTCCCTCTCTGTGATGCTGCTGTTCCAGCAGACCACACCGTACAAGAGGCTGATGCCACCACAGAGTCATAGAAGGTCTTCAGGAGTGGCCCCTGCACTCCAAAAGACCTAAGCCTCCTCAGCAGGTAGAGGCGACTCTGGCCCTTCTTGAAGAGGGCGTCTGTGTTATGAGTCCAGTCCAGTTTGTGGTTCAGATGAACACCCAGGTACTTGTAAGAGTCCACTCTCTCAATTCCCTTTCCCTGGATGTTCACTGGGGCTGGAGCGGCAGAGTGACGTCTGCTGAAATCCACCACCATCTCCTTGGTCTTTCCCGTGTTGATGAGGAGGTGGTTCATCTCCTTGGTCTTCCTCACGTTGATGAGGAGGTGGTTCATCTCCTTGGTCTTCCTCACGTTGATGAGGAGGTGGTTCATCTTCTTGGTCTTCCTCACGTTGATGAGGAGGTGGTTCATCTCCTTGGTCTTCCTCACGTTGATGAGGAGGTGGTTCATCTCCTTGGTCTTCCCTGCGTTGATGAGGAGGTGGTTCATCTCCTTGGTCTTCCTCACGTTGATGAGGAGGTGGTTCATCTCCTTGGTCTTCCCCGCGTTGATGAGGAGGTGGTTCATCTCCTTGGTCTTCCTCACGTTGATGAGGAGGTGGTTCATCTTCTTGGTCTTCCTCACGTTGATGAGGAGGTGGTTCATCTCCTTGGTCTTCCCCGCGTTGATGAGGAGGTGGTTCATCTCCTTGGTCTTCCTCACGTTGATGAGGAGGTGGTTCATCTCCTTGGTCTTCCCCGCGTTGATGAGGAGGTGGTTCATCTCCTTGGTCTTCCCTGCGTTGATGAGGAGGTGGTTCATCTCCTTGGTCTTCCCCGCGTTGATGAGGAGGTGGTTCATCTCCTTGGTCTTTCTCACGTTGATGAGGAGGTGGTTCATCTCCTTGGTCTTCCCCGCGTTGATGAGGAGGTGGTTCATCTCCTTGGTCTTCCTCACGTTGATGAGGAGGTGGTTCATCTTCTTGGTCTTCCTCACGTTGATGAGGAGGTGGTTCATCTCCTTGGTCTTCCCCGCGTTGATGAGGAGGTGGTTCATCTCCTTGGTCTTCCCTGCGTTGATGAGGAGGTGGTTCATCTCCTTGGTCTTCCTCACGTTGATGAGGAGGTGGTTCATCTCCTTGGTCTTCCTCACGTTGATGAGGAGGTGGTTCATCTCCTTGGTCTTCCTCACGTTGATGAGGAGGTGGTTCCGCTGACACCAGTCCACAAAGTCCTGTATAACTCCTCTGTACTCTGTGTCATCGTCCTCGGAGCTGAGTCCGATGATGGCAGAGTCGTCAGAGAACTTCTGTAGAACACAACCGTCCGTGTTGTGTCTGAAGTCTGCAGTGTAGAGGGTGAAGAGGAACGGTGCGAGGACAGTTCCCTGGGGGGCCCCACACTGCAAAAGACAGAAGTGTGCAACATGTTAAGGTTTATACAGCCTGTGCAGGATATAATTATGTACAAAAAAAGTGTATCTAGATGAAAAGCACCACATTTGTTAGTGAAAAGGAAATGTTGAATTTGCTTCCTTGACTTGAGTTCCTGGTCGTCCTTTAGGTTTGCGTACACAGTCGCCAGTGTTCTGCTCAGTTCGGTGGTTCGCCATCTGCGGCTCGGTGCCGTTAAGGGCCAGGCCATGGAGGTTCGCTCGGAGCTGGTGTCCTCGCCCAAAGACGAGACGTGGCTGACAGTCTGCAGCAGGACCTGAGCCCGCCCTGGACCCCTACGGACCCCTACGGACCCCTACGGACCCCTACAGCGCTGTGTATTGTTAAATCAATTTCTATCAGTATTAGTTTTTACATTTTGTACAGCTACACTAATTATTTTTACAAGACATTTCAGTTTTAAATAGATTACACGTTTTGTACATTTTCAATAAAGTAATTGTTGTTTATTTTGTGGTCAAAACGTTACAGAACAACACAGATTCAGATTCAGATTCATTTTATTGGCCATGTGCAGTAAAACTACATTGGAAATACATGCAAAAAGAGGTACTCTGTGTGCACCGACAGAATAAAAAGCACGATACAATGTAATATAAATACACATACACTGAATATAAAATAATAAATAATAAAAAAAACAGCTGACACTGTGGCACCGATCGACAAAACAATACAAGGGGTAAAAGCAGTTTAAAAGCAGGTAAAAGCAGGAATTAAAATGCTCTGTTTAGGCACCTAACAGCCTGTGGAAAGAAGCTGTTAGCATAGCGAGATGTCTTGCATCTCAGTGACCGGTATCTTCTGCCAGAGGGAAGAAGCTGGAACATGGCTTTCCCAGGGTGGCCAGAAGAGTCACCGATGATTTTAAGTTTCACAGTGTTTAAATCAGACACATGTTTAGTAGAGATGAGGAAAGACCTTGTATTAAAAGGTTTGTTTTGTCATTGTTGTGCACATGTACACAGCAGGAGAAAAGAAGGAAATAAGAGCACTCAGATTGCACACATCAAACAGGGTGTATAATTTAAGATAATAAATACAATTAAAATAATAAGTGATAAGATTATTAAAATTAAACTCTTGAGCTATAAGTGCACTGTATAATTAGATGTGTAGTGTGTGTAGCAGCAGTAGGATTGTGTGTGCAGTTGTGTTGTAGTGTAGCAGCAGTGTGTATGTACGTGCACGTGTATCACGAGTATAACTGGTGCAGTACCACACGCGGCCAGAGGGGCGCCCTCGAACCCTACACTTCGCCAAAGATGTGAAAATGGCGGAGCTACAAATGCTTCTGGAGGAGGAGATTCCAGCGGGACGGAGCGCTCTGTTGGACAGCTTCACCAACTTGGAACGGGTCGCGGAGTACTGCGAGAGTAACTATGTCCAGGTAGGACCGTCCCCCGGGCCCCACGGCGCTGTCACCGCGGTCCCAGCCCCGACGGAGCTAACAGCAGCTAACGGTGGCTAACGGTGGCTAACGGTGGCTAATGCTAACGATGCTGCAGCCTCTCAGCTGCTGCTAGCTTCGCATGCTACAGACATAAACACACAGATGGGTCGCAGTCGGGCTAGTTTCTGTGTGTGGTTGATACGTGAGCGAGCTGGGGAGGGAGGACACTGCTGCTGTCTGTGTCTGTGTCTGTGTCTGTGTCTGTGTCTGTGTCTGTGTCTGTGGTGCTAATGCTGCTCTACTACATGGCTGCAGTCTGGGAGTAAAGACATTACATGATCCATGGCTGGTCTGCAGCCCGGACATCGAGCTGGTTCTGCGGTTATATAAGCACCACGGCTCCGCAGGATCGTAGGCTCCTTCTGCAGCAGCAAGGAGCTCCTGATTTATGATGGAGCCACGGGGCGCCCTGCCCACTCTGCTCTCTCTATGCCCACCCTCTGCTCTCTCTCTGCTCTCTCTCTATGCCCACTCTCTGCCCACTCTCTGCTCTCTCTCTATGCCCACTCTCTGCCCACTCTCTGCTCTCTCTCTATGCCCACTCTCTGCCCACTCTCTGCTCTCTCTCTATGCCCACTCTCTGCCCACTCTCTGCTCTCTCTCTATGCCCACTCTCTGCCCACTCTCTGCTCTCTCTCTGCTCTCTCTCTATGCCCACTCTCTGCCCACTCTCTATGCCCACTCTCTGCCCACTCTCTATGCCCACTCTCTGCCCACTCTCTATGCCCACTCTCTGCCCACTCTCTATGCCCACTCTCTGCCCACTCTCTATGCCCACTCTCTGCTCTCTCTCTATGCCCACTCTCTGCCCACTCTCTCTCTGCCCACTCTCTGCCCACTCTCTGCCCACTCTCTATGCCCACTCTCTGCCTCTCTCTCTATGCCCACTCTCTGCTCTCTCTCTATGCCCACTCTCTGCCCACTCTCTATGCCCACTCTCTGCTCTCTCTCTATGCCCACTCTCTGCCCACTCTCTGCCCACTCTCTGCCCACTCTCTGCCCACTCTCTATGCCCACTCTCTGCCCACTCTCTATGCCCACTCTATGCCCACTCTCTGCTCTCTCTCTATGCCCACTCTCTGCCCACTCTCTATGCCCACTCTCTGCACTCTCTCTGCCCACTCTCTGCCCACTCTCTATGCCCACTCTCTGCCCACTCTCTATGCCCACTCTCTGCCCACTCTCTATGCCCACTCTCTGCCCACTCTCTGCCCACTCTCTGCCCACTCTCTATGCCCACTCTCTGCCCACTCTCTATGCCCACTCTATGCCCACTCTCTGCCCACTCTCTATGCCCACTCTCTGCCCACTCTCTATGCCCACTCTCTGCTCTCTCTCTATGCCCACTCTCTGCCCACTCTCTGCTCTCTCTCTATGCCCACTCTCTGCTCTCTCTCTATGCCCACTCTCTGCCCACTCTCTGTTCTCTCTCTATGCCCACTCTCTGCCCACTCTCTGCTCTCTCTCTATGCCCACTCTCTGCTCTCTCTCTATGCCCACTCTCTGCCCACTCTCTGCTCTCTCTCTGCCCACTCTCTGCCCACTCTCTGCCCACTCTCTATGCCCACTCTCTGCGCTCTCTATGCCCACTCTCTGCTCTCTCTCTGCCCACTCTCTGCTCTCTCTCTGCCCGACTCTCTGCTCTCTCTCTGCTCTCTCTCTGCCCACTCTCTGCTCTCTCTCTGCCCACTCTCTGCTCTCTCTCTGCCCGACTCTCTGCTCTCTCTCTGCTCTCTCTCTGCCCACTCTCTGCTCTCTCTCTGCTCTCTCTCTGTTCTCTCTCTGGTCTCTCTCTGTTCTCTCTATGCCCACTCTCTGCCCACTCTCTGTTCTCTCTCTGCCCACTCTCTGCTCTCTCTCTGCCCGACTCTCTGCTCTCTCTCTGCTCTCTCTCTGCCCACTCTCTGCTCTCTCTCTGCCCACTCTCTGCTCTCTCTCTGCTCTCTCTCTGCCCACTCTCTGCTCTCTCTCTGCTCTCTCTCTGCTCTCTCTATGCCCACTCTCTGCTCTCTCTCTGCTCTCTCTCTGCTCTCTCTCTGCTCTCTCTATGCCCACTCTCTGCTCTCTCTCTGCTCTCTCTATGCCCACTCTCTGCTCTCTCTCTGCCCGACTCTCTGCTCTCTCTCTGCTCTCTCTCTCTGCCCACTCTCTGCTCTCTCTCTGCCCACTCTCTGCTCTCTCTCTGCTCTCTCTCTGCTCTCTCTATGCCCACTCTCTGCTCTCTCTATGCCCGACTCTCTGAACTCTCCCTGCTCTCTCTCTCGGGACTCTCCCTTGTCTCTCTCTCTGCCCTCTCTCTGCCCAGCGCTGGACACAGGTTCAGGGGAACACAGCGGGTCAAAACACTCGGCCTGTGCGGAGTGAGAGGGGGGTCAGCTGTGGGCTACTGAGGCCAGTGCATTTGGTGACCGTGTAGCCCTTGTTAAATTCCCCACGTCCTTCATTTGGAGTGAGCCTGTAGTGACACATGATGTTTAACCTGCTTGCTGTATAAGAACATTTTATTCATGGCTTTAAGCTCTGATAGTTTGAGTATGTTTATGTGTTATACAAAGTCATAAGAATGTTTTATGCGTCAGTATAGCTCCTTTGTGGCTCTCACACACAGACACCGAGTCTGCGTGTGAGAGCGTGTGTGGTAATGTTTTAGAAATGTTGCTCGGCCTGTCATGTGTTCCAGTTCCCAAACTTGTTTTGTGTCATCCAGATTATAATCTGCACAGTTTCGTTTGAGTTTTGATATATCTGTCAAGTTATTTGTCTGTTGTGTAATTCATCAAAACTACTGAAATACACAATGAGTTGTTTGCTAATAATTACTTTGTCTGGCTCTGACATGACATCCTTCTTGTCATGTGTTTGCAGTCTCCGGACAAGCAGCGGGCTCTTGAGGAGACCAAGAACTACACCACCCAGTCTCTGGCCAGTGTGGCCTACCTGATCAACACTCTAGCCAACAATGTCCTGCAGATGCTGGACATCCAGGCCTCTCAGCTGCGCCGCATGGAGTCCTCCATCAACCACATCTCCCAGGTCTGACACCTCACAGCCTCTCCATGTGGGACACACAACCACATCTCCCAGGTCAGACACCTCACAGCCTCTCCATGTAGGACACAAAACCACATCTCCCAGGTCTGACACCTCACAGCCTCTCCATGTAGGACACACAACCACATCTCCCAGGTCTGACACCTCACAGCCTCTCCATGTAGGACACACAACCACATCTCCCAGGTCTGACACCTCACAGCCTCTCCATGTGGGACACACAACCACATCATGTATTTGTTGTGCGTTTATTAGTTGTACATTTGTATTAATTTTATTTAGTTTGTGGCAACATTACATCTGAAAACCAGACCTGTTAAACCGTTCAGACGGTTGCAGGTTAGCTTCTGCTGCATCATGTTGGATCTGTAAACAAACGATAGCATCTTGCTTTCTCTCCCCGTCTGATTGGTCCAAAATCAATATCAAGATAGACTTTATTGATCTATCTTATCAATGCTAAAATCCATGCCTGAGTTTCCATATTTTTGACAGCTCCAAAGGATTCAAGTGCACACAGCACAGTGGGTATTCCTGCATTGTATTTAGTTGTATTTAGTTTCTGTCCGTTATCTTTTTCTATGAACTGTATTGACTAATCTAAATACAATTTAGCTCAACCATTGCATTGTTTCCTTTTCCTCCACTAACTGCGTACCAGTCACACTGACACATGCTTTGAACCATGACCTGAGGTGTGTGTTTTGCAGACGGTGGACATCCACAAAGAGAAGGTGGCTCGCAGAGAGATCGGCATCCTCACCACCAACAAAAACACGTCTCGTACCCACAAAATCATCGCCCCCGCTAACCCCGAGAGGCCCGTGAGGTACATCCGCAAGCCAGTGGACTACAGCCTGCTGGACGACATGGGCCACGGGGTCAAGGTGGGCCACACACACACACTTACTCGTTTGAACGATATCAGCAAAAAACATTGAAAAATATTGGAGAGAATGAGTTTCTGAGACCTTTTCACACTTTGAACAAGCGTTTCATGAGCCCCGTTTCCACCAGACCCTCTACTTCTACTCTGCTCTACTCTTCTCACCCGATTAGAAGCGTTTCCACCCTCCCTGTTTAACCGGTTCTTGGTCCTTTTACTGCCTCTTGGTCCTGGTTCTATCCAGGCCGAGCTGGCACTAGTGTTCTAAATGACTTGTGATTGGCCAGAGGGCTGCTGGAAGCCATGGCTACAGAGGATACTGGTTTGTTGTGGCTAGGTTGCTAGGAGAAGCCACCAGTTTTAATGGAAACTAGGGATGTAAATCGGCGACCGGTTAACCGGTCAAAGCTGTCGGTTAAAAAAGAGAAAAAGGGGAGGTCTCTTAATAACGCTATTTTAAGCCCTATTTGCACGGTGTGACGAGCGGGTCTGTATCTAGCTGTGTGCGCCCATGTATTATAAACTCCGGGACGACTCTCACGACACACACACACACACACACACACACACACACACACACACACACACACACACACACACACACACACACACACACACCCTCTGTGTCACGGAGCCCAAAGGATTCGCGCAAATACACGGCTCCAGTCAAACACATGGACCATGTTTGTGTTTATGGTCCTCGGGATCAGCTCCACACACATCACTTGTATTTAAACTTTTGTGAAGACCTGTGAGACGCGTCTCGTCACTCGCTGCTCTGACCATGTGAACGAGCCGTGTTTGCTGCTAGAAAGTATTGGTATTAACCCGCAGCACAGCAGAATGGGAAGATTAAAAAAGCAGTTCTCTGTGCGCAAAGGTACCGGAGCTGTTGCGGGTTTGGGCGCCGCTGTCTCAGCTCTGATCCAGTAGAACGCAGACCTGCACGGCTCGAAATGGCTGTTATTTCAAAGAACGTGGACTATTTTAAACTACGCGGTTAACCGGTTAATGAGGCTCGGTGGTCGGTCATGAAAATGCATAGTTTTTTACATCCCTAAGGGAAACGCAACCAGGTAGAGTAGAGCCGAGTAGAGCCGGGTGGGACCGACGGGAACGGGCTTGTTTCTACTGTTTCTCATAGTCTCCCGCCACCACTAACCTCTGTGTTCTCTCTCTCCTGCTGCTTGGCTAACTCTGTGTGTTTACTCATCTGTAGTGGTTGCAGAGGTTCAAGGTAAGATTTCAAACCTGTGTGTGTGGAGTGACATATTTCTGTTTGTATTTATATCAGAGTTGGTTCAGTTTGGAGGTTTATCATCATCTCCTTTTTTATCTCTAGGTCAAGTTTCCATATAGATGTATTTGAGCAATCTTGACTCTTTAATCCTCTGTAAAGCAGTTGTCGTTTGTCATAGTGCCCTCTACTGGTTGTCTGTATAGTTACACTCCTGAGGGATACAGTGGGACTAACTCAGCCACCAGTTGTGAAAGTCCTCCCTCCTCAACTATGAGAGACAAAAATGAAGAGAAAACAACCAGAAATCAAGTTATCAACATTTTTAAAGCTTGTATTTATTGTGGGTAATAAGTATGTGGACGATAACAAAAGTCCGTCTTGATACTTTGTTCCCGCTGTCATTGCTGACTATCGCTCGGTGACGCAAACGTTCAACTCTTGTCATGGGATGGAGGCAGGTTTTTATTTTATTTTTTTTTAAGAACATTTAGAAAGCACGCAAACAGAAACATCACTAGAATTAAAACAAATTGTGTTAATGACATTAGTTACATAAACAAACTAATATAATATAATATAATATACAAGCCCAATCCAATAACTCCTCTTTATGTAACGTCTGTGGCATCATTGAACACCCTCCATTTCTCCCTTTGCTGATGGTATTTTTGTCCCTTTTGCCTAAGATTAGACGCTATTTCTTCCATAACTGAAATGCTTTCCACAATCCAGATCCAGTCTTGTTGTGTTGCTGGATCTGGCTGTAGCCAAACTTTTGTAATTGCCTTTTTAGTTGCCGCAAGAATATTCTTTTGTCAAATTGATGTCTTCCTTCCCTACCTCCTCCTGTGTATTATTTATCCCTACTTTGGTGTCTCTCCTGAGGGTTAGAGGTCTGTCTTTTTTTTTATTATTGGGTGTAATAAATTGTCATTCTTCCAGCAAAACTCTGGGATGGAATGAAATGAAGTTTTCACTAAAAATCTCACAATACATCCACAAATATCAGACAAATATCTAATTTTGTGTCTCATAGTTGAGGTACACCTATGATGCAGATTATAGAAGTGGGAGATCCGTGAGACAGTTTTCATGTGTCAAACCGGTTCTCCTCCGCTCTCCAGGCCAGCGCTCAGAACATGAAGGCGGGTGGAATGCCTCGCACCAACCCCCCAACACAGAAACCGCCGAGCCCCCCGCTCACAGGGAAGGGCACCCTGGGGTATGTAACGGACCACACACACACACACACACACACACACACACACACACACACACACACACACACACACACACACACACACACACACACACACACACACACACACACACACACACACACACACACACACACACACACACACACACACGAGTCCAGTATGAGGAGTTTATCAAGACCCGTAGTGTCAAACCTGTCCTCAAAGGTGTGGCTATTTCCCTGGAGTCTGCTCCTTCTTGGTTGGAATGAAAACTAGCAGCCAGCCCTTTAAGAACCGTTTTGACACAGCTGGTCTAGACCTATCATCTATAAAGCCTCATCATTGGACACAGATGAGCCAATGCAAAGACTCATTTGTTTTTGACATGAGTGACTGCTGCAGTCGTGGCCTTTGACTCACGCAGCTAAATGAACACTTCTTAACAGTCAGGCGGCTCCATGCTTTGTGTTGAGTGTTCCGTGTGTGTCCAGTGGGAGCCTCATGCATGTTAGCAGCTCCATACTCTCCTGCCCCAGGCTACGAGCCAACATCCATGTGTCATCCCAGTTATTCTTACTGTTGTGTTTTTGATTAATCGTTTTTGTTTAAATGAGTGTGACCGCTGGCTGCAGCTTACAGTGCTGGTCATTCCATTTGTTGGCGCCCTCACACATGCTCAGTTTATTCTCATATATAGTAACTGAAACTCTTGTTTGAGGATGCTGTGGTCCATAAGTGTAGGGTAGATAGGACTGACCCCTCCCTGACTTTGCTTTTACCCTCTCACAGACCTCGCCCGTAGCCTCCCAGTAGCTCTAACCTAAACAGTCTTGTGTATGCCACGTGTTGTACCCCATTGTTTTATTTTAAGTTTGCACTTGTTTATTCACCCTCTCCCCACACACTGTGGATGCCCTGACCCTCTCGCAGGCGCCACTCCCCCTATAGGACGCTCGAGCCGGTGCGTCCTCCCGTCATACCTAACGACTACGTGTCAAGTCCGACACGCAACATGGCGCCTCCCCTTCAGAGTCCCGCCCGCACTGCATCCGTTAATCAGAGGACCCGCACGTACAGGTACCCCAGCATGGTCTCTGCTCTCAGACCCTTCTGTAGCTTCTGGTCCTTCTGGACCCAGCACTCTGCCCCTGTCCCCTGTGTTCTTTTAACACGTCAGCGCAAGAGACGCAGAGCAGTTAGCAAGATGAAGCACACATTAAAGGCCTCTCCGACTGTTGTGATGGGCTGCATGGTGATAACAGTTGTGTGTTAACTCGTGTGTGTGTGTGTGTGTGTGTGTGTGTTGTCTGTGCTCTGTGTGCGGCTTCTGCCCTGTCCACTCAAACCTGGCTGTTTGCTGCCGCTCCTGTCATTACCCACTACTGCCCCCGAGCTGACGGCACAGAACTACCCTCCATGATCAGTGTTTATTTACCTCATTTATTAGAACATTTCAAAACTCATGCTTTTCACCATTTGGTTTCCATCTGTAAGTGCTGGGTCCACTTCTCCAGTGCCCTCTGTCCGTTCTGCCGTTGCCCTGTTTTATTAGTTACAAGTATTTTCCACATAATTATACATTTTTTCACGTTAATCTTTACAGGTGTTGGATCAAACATGAACCCTGATCATTTTGACAGTGGTCTGTTTGACATGTAGCTGAGATAATGATTATGCATTTACTTCAAATGTTGATTCGACAAATGGTGGATAGGTTGTGTTTATAACAAGAACTCCCAGAGCAGTCATTTTGACAGCTGTCATTCAAATCAATATAATTAAGAAATAAAAATAAAAAGAATGTATAAATTACTTAGTATGTCCTAGTAAAAACTGTATTTTAAGGGAAAAAACGTGTTGAAAGGCTAACTGCTGTCAAGTAAAGTGTTGCTATGGTAACTCTCTCTTCTCTGATGGAAAACCAGGACCGGCTCCTTGAAAAGTAGCGTTAAGTGCCTTAGAAAGTGTGTGGCATCTGCTCTCATCCCTGTGTCTGCAGCAGCGGCAGCAGCGGTGGCAGCCACCCCAGCAGCAGCCGCAGCAGCAGCCGAGAGAACAGCGGCAGCGGCAGCGTGGGCATCCCCATCGCCGTGCCCACCCCGGCCCCGCCCGGAGTATACCCAGGTAACCCACCTGCTCAGGTCTCTGCATACGTCTTGGGGTGTCTCACATTATGGTTGTGCCCCAGGGCAGCTGTGGCTGCAGTAGTTTACCACCACCGTATGCAATAAATAATGCTGTGAAGCGTCTTTGGGAGCAGTTTTAAACCCATGTAATATTAGTTTAAAAGATCATGTTATTAATGTATACATCTTCTTATTTATGTAAGGGATAACGTATATTACGCAGGTCATTATCGGAAAATAAGTACCGACAGGACGAAGAGGACCCCGACGCGGAGGGGTCTGCTTCCGCCCTGAAGGTACTTATTCTCTGATAATGACCTGCGTAATATACGTTATCCCGCTTATTATACGGCTTTAAACCAACAGAACACACAACATAAACTTCAGTCCACTTTTAGGAATGCCCAAAGGTTTATTTAATGACAAAAAATAAAATAGTTCCTAAAGGCTTTCCCGTGGCTATGCTAGCAACAGTTAGGCTAGCAACTTCCAAACTAGAACTCTCTGGAACTGCATGAAAACTGAACACAGAATCCTGAACATCAGCGGTGAGTGACCCAAACATAAACTTAACCTAAATCCATAATTCCATCCTCTGCAAATGTTCCTAAAATGTGCCGTATCTACTTCCGGGTTTTTCACCATCGCCTTTTCTCGCATTACATCAGTGTTTTTATCATGAAAACGTAAAATTCTGAAAACTTCCGTGCACTTGTATTAAGAATGTATTTGTATAATGGACTCTCCGATTAACATTTAAGTGTGTCAATGGTTCTGCTGCTGCTGTGAGGAGCGTGTGATAAATACTTATAAAGATTATGTTTATTATAATAACAATAATATGCACCACATTTTTACCTAAATATCAGATGTTAGTTTTCCAGATCAGGTATGTGGAAAACTAACATCTGATAATATTTAGGTAAAAATTATTATTACTCAGAAAAAAAACATTGAGGGTTAATTGTTCAACAATTTCCCCTCAAAACATAAAGTGATCCATGTTGTGTTAATGTGGTGATTATGGGGCCAAAAGCAGTTTTGAACTGTTGATAAATGGATCGTTATGAATTTAATTCCTCTGTATCGGACCTGACGGATCCTCGTCTCTGTCACAGCTTTTCTAACATCCCAATATTGTTTTCAGTCATGTTTGAAAAAGCCAACAATAACTAGTTTACAAATGCAGCACCACATTATGCATTTAAAATCTGCACTGGGGGAACCCGCAGCACCTACAGGATCTCCTGCTGTACGATGTGTTTTCTCCTTTGTTACTGTGGACGTGTCCAACTCACTCTTGACTCTTGTCTCCCACTCGCCTTGTACTCTCCAATCCTCCGCCTCAGCCACTGCCCCCTCCAACCCTCCCAAGCCCACTCCCTACACCGCCCCGGTCACCCCCAACCCCACACTGGACGGCCCTGCCAAGCCCCCCGTAGAGATCCCTCCCGTGCCCCCACCCCCTCCCCAGCTCCCCGACAACATGGCCTATGGCAACAACGTACCAGGTGAGTCCCCAGCCGGTCGCCCGCCCTCAGACCAGTCATGTGACCCGCCCCACCCCCACCCCGCCAGGTCGTCGGTCCGTGCTCATCCATCCTCAGCCGCGCTCATCGCTCTTCAGTTCTAATCTGTTCTGCATGACCATTGTCTCTGTGTGCATTCATTTGCTTTGGGTCATATTCAGGGCTTCCACGTTGCAGAGTGGGGGCCGGGGGTGCGGAGTGGGGGCCATATCCCACCAGTTTTGGCCACGGTTACCCTTCCTTGGTAACCGTGGCCAATTGCTGTCATTTAGAACTCTTTAGTACCAGCGAGGTCTGGAAAAACCAGGGCCAAGAGGGACTAAAGAAGGACCCAGTCTCCATCAGTGGTGTTATGACATATAGTCATATAGACTGGGCTTTTGAATTGGAGGAGAAATTGGCAAGGCAAGGCAAGGCAAGTTTATTTATATAGCACAATTCATACACAAGGCAATTCAAAGTGCTGAACAAAACAAGAAAGCATTAAAATCATAAATAATCACAGAACATTAAAAAGAAAGATACAAATATAAAATCCCTCAGTTGTATGCACAGCTAAACAGAACTGTCTTTAACCTGGCTTTAAACATTGTCAGAGAGGAGGCCTGTCTCACATCCTCAGGAAGACTGTTCCAGATTTTAGCAGCATGAATCTGAAAAGCAGCCTCCCCATGTTTAGTTCTGACTCTGGGCACTAACAGGAGTCCAGTCCCTGTGCTCCTCAGAGTCCGGACTGGTTCATATGGGACTAACATGTCACTAATATATTTTGGTGCGAGGCCATGGAGAGACTTGTACACAAGCAGAGCTGTTTTAAAGTCTATTCTCTGAGCCACAGGAAGCCAGTGCAGAGACCTGAGGACTGGACTAATGTGGTCGTACTTCCTGGTTCTTGTCAGGACTCGAGCTGCTGCATTTTGAATGTACTGCAGCTGTTTTACAGCCTGTTTGGACAGACCTGTGAGCAGGCCATTGCAGTAGTCTAACCTACTGGAGACAAATGCATGGATAAGAATCTCCAAGTCTGCTTTAGACACTATGTTTTTGATCCTGGCAATGTTTTTAGATGGTAAAAAGCTGCTGATGTTACTGATTTGATGTGGCTATTAAAATGTAAGTCTGAGTCCAGTATTACCCCTAGATTTCTGACCTTGTTTGAAGGTTTTAGGGAGAGAGACTGTAGGTGACAGATGACGCTCTCTCTTTGTTTGTGGGGACCAAAGGCAATCATTTCAGTCTTGTCTGCGTTTAGCTGAAGGAAGTTGTTTTGCATCCACTCACTGATCTGTTGGATACAGTGAAGGAGTGAGTCCACTGGTCCATGTTCTCCTGCAGTCAGTGAGACATAGATCTGAGTGTCGTCTGCATAGTTATGATAGGAAACGTTGTTTCTGCGTATTAACTGACCTAACGGCAGCATGTAGAGATTGAACAGAAGAGGTCCCAGGATCGACCCCTGTGGGACTCCACAGGTCAGGGCCATATGATCTGAGACACAGTTTCCAATCTCCACAAAGTACTTCCTGTCTTCAAGGTAAGACCTAAACCAACTTAGGGCGGTGCCAGTGACGCCAACCCAGTCCTCTAGTCTCTGTAAGAGGATCTCATGGTCGACGGTGTCAAAGGCAGCACTTAGATCTAACAAGATTAAGATTGAGACTTTGCCTGCGTCAGTGTTCAGCCGGATATCGTTTGTAACCTTGACGAGAGCAGTCTCAGTGCTGTGGTGGGGTCTAAAGCCGGACTGAAACATATCAAATGAGTTGTTGATTATAAGAAATCTAGTAAGCTGTTGGTAGACAACTTTCTCAAGGACTTTCCCCATAAATGGCAGATTTGAGATGGGACGATAGTTGTTAAGTACAGTGGCATCCAGACTGCTCTTTTTTAGCAGGGGCCTGATGACTGCAGTTTTCAGGGCCTTTGGGAATATTCCAGAATGAAGGGACATGTTTACTATCTGTGTGAGTGAAGGTAACAGACTGCTCAGAACAGACTTCAGAAATCTAGTGGGTAGTACATCCCGGCTGCATGTGGAGGAGCTCAAACTGGAGATTATCTCTTGGACAGTTTTATCATTTACAGGTGCAAAGTGAGTTAGCTCAGAGAGCCTTTCTGGCTGTTGGATGGTTATCTGTGGATTGGAGACAATGGCGTTTTTGATGCCTTGAACCTTGTCATTGAAAAAATTAGCAAACTCATTGCATTTACGTTTGGAAGTAAGCTC